CTTTCTGTTTTATGAATTTTGAAATTATAGATTGTTGAAGACCGGGATATTTTCATTCAAATTCATTTTTTTCTTCGAAATAAAGGAATATTTTGCATTTTGATTCATCGAACCAAAGCAATCAAAATGTCATGAGGACACATCTGGAGGCTTATATCAAGATGCAATTGAAGTTTGTCTCATAACTTCAAACATTCTAATTTCAAATTTTGACACTAGAGATTTCAAAAATTTGCCAGTGAAACTATGTCGGTAATCCTCTTGAGGTTATACACATTAGGAAAAGTTCATCAATTTATCACATGCAACAACTTAGTTAACATTATTTCCTGATTATCACTCCCTACTTTCAACTTCCCATCCAAAAATTTCCCCTAAAAAATTCACTTAAAATCTTACACACAGCACTGAACCTGAAATTCTTCAGGAATTTTGAAGGCTCACTCTTTGGTAAAAATAGGACTCGTGAGACAGAGTAGTTTCTCTATCAGGTAGGCGTTTTACCAAAAAAAATGCATTTTACAATACTGATTCCAAATGTGTCCTTCGTATACTTGAATGTTAATTCTAAGAAGAGTTATAAGAGTTTGTTTCTAATGGATGTCCTCTCCTAATTTTCCTGGATCCTTGCCAAAATTTTCCCCTCAGCGCTCGCGCTCCTAGTTATCTCCTGCGGCTACAGGCGGAAGGCCTTTGGTTCCTCCTGCACCACATCCATGCTAAGACGTTCGAACGTTTGATGAATTTGAGTGAAACCAGAAAATCTATGGCTATGTATTAGAAATTCCAAATTAGTTGCTACTATTTGTTTATGATATGGGATTCGTAGTCTGCCGTTAAAGCTTGAAGACGATGATAAATAAATTTCGAAACAATAAAAGCCCTAAGATTGTTCACAATTCCTGTTTGAAAGGTATTTTCACTGAATGAAAAAAGTAGTCTGCAACTCTTGCTATGAGCATGCAGTTCTGCGTAAATTTTGCAGCTAGTGCCTACTAGTGGCAGCAAGCAACTAACTAATGAATTGCTGAAACACATTATTAGACATAGTATTATATAGATGACTTATGACTCACCCTCGCAGCCGAAAGATGCGAGCGTATTAACCAAAAAGAGATCTATTCCAGTCTTATTTTTGAAACGCCAAACTACCAAGATAACGTCTTTAGTGCGAACTGCGCGGCTTTTCTGGTATCAACAAACCATACACGAAATATCTCAGTCATATAAGGACAGTGAAGAATCGGCACCGAGAAAGCATAAATAAGCTACGGAATAACGCATTTGGCTTGAAGGAATACGAGCTGGAGGCTGAAATCTGCTTAGCATGCCTTCAGACGAATCTAATATATGTCATTATACCAATGCGACTGAATTCCGTAAGAGAGGAAAGCCGCAAATATTCGTAAATTATATAAAACCAGATATGTACATTTTCTGGCTTTTCATAGGCTGTACCAAACAGCTTGTGCGTCGCGCCTGCGGCAACTTCCGGCGATGCATTGTGACGCGGGAGAAAAACTGCTTTAAAAGCGGTGGCTCGGAAAAATTGGAACTGCGTGGTTTCTGTTCCTCCTTGGTCTTTTGGACGCGTTTAGACCAAGCTATGCTTGAAAAGTCAAAAAAAGTGCTCTTTATGCCGTTCTCCGGCCTTGGAGATTGCTTATACAAACTTGTAGTTCGTATTGTTCTTTTCTCCCTCAGAATGTATAAACTCATTACATTCATGTAGTTTAGTAATACTTTGCCAGTCGATGAATTCAGTAGCTTGCATCGTTTGCTATTGGAAGAATTCGCAGATGTTAGCATCAGATGTGAATTGCTCATGGTTTTTTAGCTATCAGTAGGATGTCGCGCGCAGCTGTGGCCTGATGATGTGATCGTACGCATATAAGTAGTTGACAGTGCACACTCAGAGTTATTCACTTGTACTACTTTTGCTCATTTGCTTTAACATTATTCACTCACATATTTTGCCTTCTTCCAATCATAGCATTCCTATTTGTAGTTCATCATTTAGTAGTATATTTTGTTATTTGTTCTATCCGTGTTTGTTGTTATTTGTTTCTTTGATAAAGTTTAATTACCCAAGTTTGAGGTGTGCTCGTGTTGTCCAACGCTCAAGACCCGCGTGGCAGATAATCTTTGTGGTTGTGGCTAGCAAGTGGTATTCGAAGCCTTATAGTTCTGACTATATCCCAGACCACCAACCAATACATTGCTAAGGAGGCTGGGCGGAGATTCCGGCAGCCGAGTCCGCGATTAGCTGCCTAGGCCAGTTGCCGCCAGAATGAGTGGTGTTACAACCTCCTGCAGTCATTCATTGTTTTTGGCGGGATTCTCGGCTTCAGCCTCCTCAGCAATCTCCAAGGCTGGAAATTATTTCCTTGAAAATTTCTTTTTATGTTTAGTTATCACGCTCGCGGCGTCCCACTTGAAGAAAAAACACTACGTCCCCGTAATTCCTGACTTATTTCAATCAAAGCTGCCTCTGGTTGAGCTTGTCCGACTTGTAAGAGAAAGAAAAACTAGTATCTTCTTAGCGATAGCGTGTATGACAACAAAATGATGACTTGTTCCTGAGCAACTCGTGAACTTGCCAAAAAGGAAATTGTCAGAAGTTGCAGTGGCCCTTTGACATCAAATAGGTATCAACTGAAGCTTGAAGCTGATTCCAGAACAGCTTTTTTTAGTTGTGATTCCAGAACAGCTTTTTTTAGTTGCAAAACGGGTTTGTAAGGGCATAGCAAAACATTGAGGAAGGAATAGAATTACTTTAGCGTTGATAAACTATTTCATGTATGTTTGAGCCCAAAGTACATGGTTTTGATGATTTTAGCTACTCTCAGCGCTGTAAATTTCACACAAACTGAATTCAGTAACCCCCAGATTAGTTCTACAGCTAAAAAAGACTATTCGATATCAACGTTTCATGCTGCTTCAAAAGATACGTACCTCATGTCGAAAGGTAACTTCACACACTTTCCTTGTGAGATAAAACATGAAAACAGCCTCATGACGAACATATTCGCAAGAAAATCCAGTCAACCATCCATTGATGAATATAGTAGTAAATGAGCAATTGAAATAGCATGTGAAAAAGAGGACGTCCGGATTGCCGTGTGCCAGAGCCGTGATAGCGACGTGCCAGAACCGTTCTTGCGCACCCTAATGTTGATCGGAGCTCCGGCACGGCGCTGGCACAGGCAACTTAGGGCGCAGCTCGAGCACAGCACCGTTAGACATTTCAGAACCGTCTCAATTAAAATGATCACGACTGGAAAATGAGAATGTGTGACAGGAACCTCCTTGCTGGACACTGAGCATCAAAAAAAAGCACAGCCTTTAAATCGGTGAAGCTATGGGATAATTACAACCGCCTCTTGCACTAGACCCTCAAAAGCCGTGAGCTGCAGCGCGAGAATTTGCAGATTCGTTCTTTATGGCAAGAACTTTAATCTCAGAACATTGAAGCGAGAATGCATATCATCTCCACTTTTTGCTGCTTCAAAATTAGAATCAGAGGAGGTGCTGGACCTGCCTACACAGTCATCATAAAAATACCAGCCATGGTAGCGACGAGCCGGAAAGGGTAAAGATGATAACATGCTTGAGATCAAAGCGAATTAGGCATGCAACTAGCTATATGGCCCCAACGTATTCAGAAACTTGTAATGTGGCTAATTCTAAGGATGCAAATGTAATGTTATATGAATGTGACAAACACATGGCAAACAATTCACAGAAGCAGATGATACTATCATCATGAAATTTTGTACTTTGTTATGAGCAGATACATAAACTGTTGCGTACTGGGAGCATGCGTGAATTTCACATAAATGCAAGGTTATCCCAATCATAAGGACGGGAACACTAAAAACCATCCCCTCCAAAAAAAGTATTTTCTCAGCAACAACATTTCTAGGCAATGCGCTATAGCTTGCATAGTTACGAAACGCACACTTCCAAAATGTGAGAAAAATAGTTCTTGTATAAGATTTTCCCAGAGCCATATGCTGGCAACACCTCTAGCGACGACGTGTATTCCAACGTTTCACATCACACTGAATAAAAATAACAATAGCTTTTCACCAAACTTGAGGATGTATTAGACGATACTGCTTTGTAGCCAAACTCCTAAAGACATGGAGACACAGAAAACCCAACTTTGATATGATTTCAAACTTTGGAGAAAATTCTTATCAAGAAACTCAATGAAGCTTTCTCACCTGCAAAATAGAGCACAAAGTTCCTGCTTCTGTGAATCTCAACTATGATACAAAAGTCCAATACTGCGTAAGGAAAATAAGACACTTCATTCAAACCTATTACTTACGCTTGTAGAATTTAGTTGTCTTGAAAAGCACAACTGATAATGAGGTCTGACGAAGATCTTAAAAACTTCTTTGGTGAGATAAGTTCCAATAGGAAGATTGGAAGGCGGAAGGACGATAACGAGATAAGACAGCTGATATCAAAAGCGCAATGTATTACCAGAAAATAAAGTGCAAATCCATGATTATATTACCTACTCAATCAAAGTGATGAAAAGTGTATTTGAAATTTTTCGCATGTGCACCGAAGAACAGAAAATAAATTCATGAAGAAGAAATATGTGATTCAGAGAATGCCTAGTTTCCTTATATCGTATATCGAGTGCAACTAAAGCGTGTCACCAATTTCGCTACTGCAGCGACGAAAAAGTTTAGGATCACGTGTATCGGTAAAGGCAACTATGCGCTGAAATGACAAAAGAAGGTAAGCAACTCTGAACTCGATGGCAAGGAGAATGTACCATGAAAGCAGCTAGAGCAACTACAGAAATGCATCCTCAAGCAACTGCAGAAATGCTACAAAAAATAGTTGCTCCATCATAATTTTGAGAGGATCAGATATGAGAACGGAAACTTTGCCCAAATGCAGTTTAACTACTCCGAAAAAGACTACATATAGGCGCGCATTTCTTAAAGACACCTATGATCACCAAAACATATACTCACCGTTAGACTGTGTCTGCCCCATCCTCGTCGGGTTTTCGTTGCAGGGTGAGTTCTTCTTGACGTTGACAGCTTCCTTAGGTTCTTCTGGAGGTGAAAAACAGGGCCGCTTTGAGGCAGGCGAGGATGTTGGAGCAGTTGTGGAAGGCACATTTGGAGAGGGAACCTGCAAATACATTGAGAAATTTGAGGAATGAATGCTTAATGAATAAGCCCTTCGAGACAGAGAAACATTGAAAGCACGGGTGATGAGCAACAGTAAGTAATACATGACACAAGCCGCCCACTCATTCTAGAACTACAACGCACACCCAGTACAACTTGATAAAATGGTGCACTATAATAAACATCAAGCGTTTCGTTCAGATGCAACCTATTGAGGGTCCCTAACATGATGACCTAGCAAATAAGGCCTAATATAAGTTGGCCCATGACTTATATTATAGACAGGAAATGGATTGCATAATTGTATCAAGGAGAGTCTGGGTTGATAAGTATAGTGCTCGAAACAATTTTGCAGAAAAATCCGCTTAAGAGCCATATCATAACTTAGGATAATCTGTCGGTCTGTAATTTGGTCTGTTACGAAATTACAGTGAGGAATGATTTACATATCTACTAAACAGCATGTGAGGTTCTGATGCGAGTCTGTTTTATTTAACATGGCCTTCACGCTGCAGTCAACCGGACAATGACTTGAGAGACAAGCTCCCAAAGCGTGAGCTTGCTACCATTCCTGATGGCCAGCGCGAACCTCTGCGAAGCAAAGGTGATGCACTAGTATGATAATAAACTATGAAAAATCGAAGACAATATATAAAGCAATATCTGGTGCTAAAACATCTCAGGATAAAGCAAGTACAAATTCCTATTGAGACCTTACTGGGATCATATAAGAGTTATCGATGAAATGTTTAAGCATCTTTTTTTGGAGTTCAACCATGATCAAATGTATATTTTTTCTTGTGAAAGGGAGACTATAACAAAATTTGCGGGCACGGATGGAACGAATTTGCATTCTCACAAAACTGATGACGAAAATTCAGCTGCGCACTTAAGAGCGCGTGTATACTAATGCATACATGTGTACAGACACACGTTATCAGTGACGGGCTTAGAGTTTATAAGCACAAGATTATCGTTTTCTCCCAAGTCAAACGCGAAATCGCTATGCGTCCCGCTTTCCGTCAGATTATGTTTTATACATTCCTTGAAACAAAACGAATACCAGGAATACAAAAAATATTATTTCATGCATCAAACTTCAAATGAAGTAAACTGATCAGACTCAAACTGCGACTTTGTACCAACGAGAACTGAAAGCAATTTTGCAGAACGTCATGTCTATGTGTTTTTTTTTTGTTTTTTTAGAACGTTTTCCTGAATTTTCATCTCATGACGCTCAGACTACGAAAGATATTTTGCATTGTATCGAATAATCTGTAAATCCGCAAATATGAGTACGTTAGTTATGCAAAACATAGACACTCATCCATTCTTCTATGTCCACAATAATTTGACCTGCGGGCAATGTTCATCATTCGCAAAGGTGGAACAGCAGACGCATTTGCTGCTTGCACCAATGAGATCGCAGATAATATTAGGTCTGAGCAAAAAGTGCTAGCTCTTTTGAATCTCTTCCAGCCTAGCATTCAAAATCTGTGTATAGGGTCAATTAGACCCTATACACAGATTTGAAGTAGTAATAGTTGATTTCACAAGTAGTAATAGTTGATCCAGTGCTACTAGATCAACTATTACTACTTGTGATGGGAATGGCGAAAAAGCTTGCTGTTACGGCGGCATTCCTATGGCGCAGATATCACTATAAAAACCGTCGCTTCATTCTCGTAAACATAGCCCGTAATCAAGTTCTTGAGGCACAAACGAGAGATTTGAAAGAGACTAGTGGGAGCAGCAATACAGCATTACCTACACCACATAACGCCGAAAAGCTGAAACTTTTGACTACATTTTCATGACGTTTCCTTAAGCCAAAAATAAAAGACCATATTCATATAATAAGTGAGCTATGCTACCAAGGAAAGGCACCTCTATAAATAGTTTGTCCCATAAAAATAGATATTCGGAACCGGCTTGAGATTCTGAGTCCAAATATGCTGCCCAAAGCTGCGAATCCCCTTTCCGAAAAGAACCATGATATTGGAAAGATTCCCACCTACACGCCTCTTCACCATATCCAGTGGCATGTCAATCCCTTGAAAAGCGTGCTCATAACTCTTTCCAGAACACTGTTTGCAGCTAAGAACAGAAAACTTAAAATCAGCGTTACAAACTGGCTACATATATCCCTAATTAGTGAAAGGAAGCTACACCGGAATAGGTGTCTTTTGAGTTAAAACGGATTTGATGCGCACAAGCGATTACCTCAGGCGGCAAAGATTTTAGCAGTTATTGCCCCAATAAGTTCAAAGGCCACTTTGCTTGGTTCCTAAGTTTACACTATGAGACGTTTCTGACCGAAAAAGGAAAGCCTTTTCGCTAACACCTAGCATCAGCTTATTCAGTTTGAAAAGGCGATGGTTACGGAGTATACCTATCTAGCGCATCCTAAACTGTTGGCAGAGAGACTTTCGAGCATTACAAAGAAGTAATTTGCAGAGTACGCAAATTGCCACCTGATATGTTCACATAGTGGGCCATAAAATCTTTCATATGTATCACTGAACGAACCGTAAAGCAAATAAATACTTGCTGGTAGCATAAAAGAACTAGCATAAGCAACTGTGAAAAAGAAAACACAAAAAAGGAAAAAGTGGAAGGGAACCAACTCTGGCAGAGGGAGGAATACTCGTATTAGCGTACGAGGACGACGATGTGTGAGCTTGTGAAGACCCGTTGGTGGATGAGAGCGTTGTACATTGTGGAGCGATTTTAAGGTCTGAGAACTCCTGCTTCACAACAGACTGGCTAGCAGCGGCTACTTGAAGGTAATTGAAACTCGGCTGTTGATGATGGAGGTTTTGCAGCATTGTGATCTGAAATAGAATAGATAAACCGTATTCGCCAAAATGAATGAACGAAATTTTTGGAAGAAGTAAAAAGCGGTCATTAACAATTAGAGAGCCCTTCAGTTTGCATGAATCAAACAAATTAAAAAATCAAAACGAAAATACATAGGTAGAAAGGATGATCTCCAATTATTAAAAAAGAGACCACAAGCAATGTAGCACAGAGTGAATGCAGTTTACCTGCTGCAAAAGGCTATTGTTGGCTTGTCCCTGAGATGCAGCTATAGCGGCCGAAAGAGGGCTTTGCCACATCCCCGCCGGGCTTAGCAACAGGGTTTCCAGTTGGACAGTGGCACAGTTTGTTGAGAATTTTTACTGAAATATTTCCCGGGTAAATTTGATCCGAGGTCATTTTAGAGGCAAAAACGACGATAAGCACAGAGACGCACTGTTAGTTATAAAGCTAAGACTAACTTCAAGCAGCTCAAGCGCTTTTTACAAAGCTTCCCATGGCTACAAAATTCATTTGAATTTTTTATTTCACAGCAAAATGATTCCATTTTGAATAATGAGAACGGCGCACAGTTATACGACTAGCGCAGGCGCGTTGTCTGCAGTGACGTAGGAATCAACTAGCAGATTTTTCTTGCAAACCAATGGATGTGAATATTGTAGTTGGAGTCATCAAATACAACTTTCGTAATCTTGGCGATTCTGGGTAATTTGCTCGAGAAATCTTGTCTTCCATCAAAAGGATGAGCTCTCAACACATGGATTTTGAGGGAAATAGTTCGGAAATCGCTGGATGCTCAACATGAAGAGTGGGCGGATTTAGTGGGGTGAACTAGAAGTAAAATCGACAGTAACCTACAATATCTACCCTTGAATTCTCTTACCACTTATCATTGGCAGTTATGGTGAAACTAACGCGAATATCGTAACGGAATCGTACTATATAACACCGTAACGCAATGATCAGGTCTCATCTAACGTAGTTCTTTCGTAAAGTGTTACTCGTCTAAAAACATTTTTAACGATATATCAGACTAGCTGGCTTACCCGGCTCCGCCCGGCCCTGTCAAACACTGTATTAAAGGTCCCATTCCTATCCCTGTACAGCCTTTCCCTGTGCCCACTTCTACATACAATTCCCTATTTCCGCTGTGTTAGTAATCAGCATGCTCACCTACCTCCCTCAGCAACCCCCAACCCCGTAGCTCAAACTTTGCAAAAAAATCAGTAAAAACGATAAAAGTAAGGGTAATTCTAAGAACTGATGGCGCTATTCGGATATTCGGGCCCCAAAATGTTTTTTGACGGATCTTGCTCAAATTCGGCATATGGGGGTCATTTGAGCCGCTGATGACAAAATTCGTAGTCATTTCGCGTGGCAGCGGGTAAAAATCATGAACCTGCTTGAAACCTCGGCAGGGAATTACCCAAAGTGCTGTTTCAAAAACATCGTGCTTAATCCCCACGATAAAGGCAATTCGTTTGGCATAAAACTTTCCCACCACCGTAATGCTTTCTTTATAGTACCACTGCCGCGCGCAATACACACTTCGGCGGCTTTTGCCTAAGCAAAGACAGGGGGAGAGAGATTTGCTGCGTGCGTTAACGTTAAGGCAGTGTCCGCGCAAAAAGTCGATTTTGAGATTTTGTGCCTACAGGCCTATTCACTATGATGAATCCGAAAATCCACATTGGAAAGCGCGAAAACGGCAAAAAAGGGCTCTAACGCAGGAGGGAATTCGGAAGTGGGCGGGGTCCTCCCTACTGTGAATATCGCAGCCCCAGCTTCTGGAGCCATCTTCCTAATTCCTCTAGCGCCCTGAGATCTCCACTGGCCAGGTGCGAATGCATGACTTGAAATCGGAACAAAAAGGGAAGATCGCCCACGAAGTTGGGAGCGTGAATTCACCGTGGGGAAGACCCCGCACAATTGCTGATTTCCCTCCAACATTAGAGCCGTTTTTCGCCGCTTTCGCGCTCTCCAATATGCGTTTTCGGATTCAGCGTAGCGAATAGGCCCGGTTAAGCAAAAAATCTCAAGATCGAGTTTTTGCCCGGACACTGCCTTTAAGACAACCCTTATACACGAAGTTTAAAGCAAGCTCTACCACAAAAAAATTTTGGGGCCCGGATAGCCGAATAGCGCCAAACTAATATCGAACTCGTAATCGGCATGCTCGATTACCCTCCTGTGATAAATCCGAGCCCCGTAGCTCAAAGCAAAAAAATCTATAAAATCGTTGAAAGTAACCGATAATTCTGAAAACTAATATTGTATTCGGAATCCCCATGCTCGATTACCCCCCTGTGCCAACTCCCAGCCCCGTAGGTGAACTCTGCAAAAAATCGATAAAAATCGATAAAATCGACATCGATCGATGACGAAAATTAGCCTATGACACCCGCCGGGGCTCGAGGTGTATGTGTGCCAAGTTTGGTCCGGATCGGTTCAGGAATGGAATTTTCTATTCGGAACATACGTACAGACAGACAGACCTACAGACAGACAGACAGACATACAGACATACAAACAGACATTCAGCTTAAAATAAAAGATTATCGTAGGGCTCCATCAACCGTGGTTCTATCAGATCGTCCCAAAAGAACTCTTTTTCAAAATCAGCCTATCTTCGTTTTCCTGGCAGACTAAGGTACCATTCGATAGGGCGAAGCAAACTTTACAAAACGGTATATCAAAGATCCGCTTTAGTTGTAATCCAGGTAAAAATTGGAGCCATAAATCAAAATTTTTCAACTACAATAAATATCGGATCTCATTTCAGAAAATTCCTACGGGTAGCCAGACTTGGTCCTTATGCATACACATGGTAGGACCAAAATGCATTTGATGGTTTTCGGGTTTCAAGATCAGGCAATAAAAATAAGAAACCCCAAAAAATCGTCTTTTTTAGGGTTTCTCATGTGAGACTTGGTATTTCGCGATTACCAGAGCTCATACAAAGGTTAAATATTAAGATTACACTTACCAAGGCTTGGAGTATACAATCACTTATGTGGGTGGGGGTGGGGGCGGAGTTTGCCATTTTGAACAATCATTTTTTCTCGCTTTCTATGCATGGAATAAATCCAGTGAAAGCATTTTTGAGTACTACTATGTATGTGTTTATTGTATAACGACCAAATTGGAGGTCCGTAGGACTATCCTTTGCAAAAATCAGTTTTTTTCCCTTTTGGCTCCAAAACTTATCTGGATTCCTACTTAGACGGAGCTCTTGCGGGGTCATTTTATAGAGCTTCCTTTGCTCTATCTAATGGTGATCTAAGTCTGCCAGGAAAACAGAAACATGGTTTACTTAGCAAAGGAGTTGACTTTTGAGACAACCCACATTATGAGGCGCTACCGCAATCGTGGTAAGAGCTCGTCAAAATCTCCCATTAGCATCCTAGGCAAGATTCTAGTAAAAAAAGATCCCTCCGTGACTACATTTTAGCAGTGCCAAGATGGCTAGGAATTCTGATTGTGCAGACTAATAATACACTTCTGCTGAAAGAAAAACCACTACATCTGAAAGAGGGGTTCAAAGGTTCCATTCAGACAATCTCAGTTCTAAGCTAAAGGTTAACGGAAGAAGCCATCTTGACCATGATTTTTTGGTTTCTGAAGTTCCCACCTAATTTTATACATTTCTCTACAGATGCCCAGAAAAATATCCAAACAAATGCACAATGGATTCGGACAGAAAATGAAAACATGGCTTCGACTATGGTACAAACAAAAAAGTGATAAACTGTAATTCAATGGACTTTTTAAAATCACTGATTTTCAAAGAAAAATTGCTAAATAGAGTAGGCGAATTGAGTCATGGATTCGAAGTGAAAACAAATAAATAGTACTAAAAGAGCAGCTGTATTTGCATACTAGCTAATTAATGACCACCACAGTCATTCTAGTGTCAAGACATCCTCCAGGCATGCCTGAGTTCGCGGCAAACCTTTGTAATTACCAGCTTTGAATATTTTCTTGGTGTACATTCCAGGAAAAATCAAATAATTGCGCACCTTGACTTTATTTGTTAGTCGTTAGAAAGAGGTGGGTGGAACTAATACTAATGGTTTGGCAAAGTACAGATACAAAGTATCTGACCTTAGATTGCCATCTCTCCCTGTAGAGTCTGCCATATGATTCATCTTTGCTGAAAAAAATTCCAGGTCTTTCCAAAATTACAATATAGTACTGCGTAACAACACACTATCTACTCTCAGTTATTTGATAGGATATCTCTCTTGCGGTATCTTTCTCTGATCTTTAGATACCACTCATAGGGTTTGCTTACGAGGAAATGATCAGAACTCAACCCAGCCATTCCATATAGGCTGTATATGATCAGATTCGACTTAAAACGTTGATTTCAAATGCATGCTTTCTATCTGCCAAGCGACTATCTGGGAGGAGTTATGAGCGTTCAAATATGAGGAACTTTTCGAGTTTCGATGAATATGTTTCATTGAAAGGCAGCCTGATGGCGCGGATTTACAGTGGGTATGGTTATTTTTGATTACAGGGAAGAATTTATTCGCCAAAAACCTAAATAAGTGTTTTTGAAGCCTATTTCGTGGAACATGCGCCACAGAACACTTGACAAATCGCAAATTTCAACGCTCACAACTCCTCCCAGATAGTCGCTTGGCAGATAATAAACAGATATTTGTGATCAACGCTTCAAGACGAGTCCGACGATATACAGCATGTTTGGTATGGCTGTGTTAAGTTTCGCCCATTTCCTGCTTAGTTCAACGACATGAAGCAAATCACTTTTCTCACTTCATAACTGTACACTATCGCTCATAAATCGTCAAAGTCACCAAAGTCCGCTATCCCCTCGCATCGCCATATCTTAGTTCAAAGTTCAGTTCAAAGAATTCTGCATTCCAAGGCGTTGCATCTTCTGATATGAGGAAGTGTCCATTTCAATACGCTGCATACAGGTAGGCGGTCTATTTTTTTTTTCAGAGCTGTGAATAACAATGAATAAGCACACTGATTGACCTATTGCAAATAAAAATGTAAATATCGTGGAATTTGACCGCCTACCGTGCGCATACCGTACCTGAACGCATACCGTATCTACGTGTCGGAAGAGCCCTCTCGGGGCTGAGTCACGGTGCTCTCATTCAGAATTTCTCCACTTTGAACCATGATTTGGCGATGCTAAGCGGATTTTGATGAACTCCAATGGCTTCGATGACCTTTTTGACGAATTATGCGCAATTTATGTGATTACGATAGGGGCTTCGAAGAGGGCGTTGGTTGAGAACTTTAAGCAAACCAAAAAGCCTCAAGGCTCTTACACTGAGCTGGTCAGAGTTGCCAACTCTACATATAAAGCCTGCACTTTACCTTATGTTTCCTTCTTGGAGGCAGTCTCCATACAATTTGGGGTTTTGGAATTCTACTGCCATGCGAAGGTGCCTCCTGAGACAAGCCAGCGCGCAAGGGCGAGACCACAATGTCTGATAGAAGCAAGAAATACGGTCGAAAAGTTGGGAAACATACTCC